CAAGCTGGGGGGTGAAAAAGGGGTGAGTGAAAAAAGGGAGGGAGAGATTAAGAAGATATGGACTAACATGTAGTGATACCAGGAGAAGGACCTGGGGGTGATGGGTGAGGAGAAGCTCAACATGTTCTGGCACCGTGCACTGGAGCCCAGAACCCACCCGTGTCCTGGGCTGTGTCACCAGCAGTGTGACCAGCAGGGCCAGGGAGGGGATTGTCCCCTCTGCTCTGCTCTGCTGAGACCCCCCTGCAGGGCTGGGAACAGCTCTGGGGTCCCCAGCACAGGAAGGACACGGAGCTGTTGGAGAGAGGCCAGAGGAGGCCCCGGAGATGCTGGGAGGGCTGGAGCAGCTCTGGAGCCAGGCTGGGAGAGTTGGGGTGTTCAGCCTGGAGAAGAGAAGGCTCCAGGGAGAGCTGAGAGCAGCTTCCAGGGCCTGAAGGGGCTCCAGGAAAGCTGGGGAGGGGCTTGGGACAAGGGCAGGGAGGGATGGGAGCAGGGGGAAGGGTTTCCAGCTGGCAGAGGGAGCTGGAGCTGAGATGGGAGGGAGAAATTCTGGGCTGTGAGGGTGGGGAGAGCCTGGCCCAGGTTGCCCAGGGAAGCTGTGGCTGCCCCATCCCTGGGGGTGTTGAAGGGCAGGTTGGATGGGGCTTGGAGCAGCCTGGGCTGCTGGGAGGTGTCCCTGCCCATGCAGGGCAGTTGGGACTAGACGATCTTGAAGGTCCCTTCCAACCCAAACCATTCCATGATCCTATGATAATTTTCACACCCTGTGAAATGAGAGAGGCACTTCCAGCTCCTCCAGCTCCAGGCAGGTGTTTCTTTCCTGTTTCTTGTGCTCCAGGAGATTGTTGTTCCACAAGCTGGGAGCATTCCTGGTCCTGGCTGGCACCTTCCCCTGCAGAGCAGCTCAGCCTTGGCACCTCAAACCCTGGGGGAGTTTTGGATCCCCTGGAGAGGGACCAGACTTCTGGGATCTGCTCTGCTCCCTGCTCAGTGCCCTGAAGGGGGGATTTCTTTTTCCCAGTTTCCCTGGTAGCTGGTGTCAGTCCTTGCAGGCATCCTGGGCATCCCTCTTCTTTTCATGAGTTTGTTTTCTTGTTCCAGACCTTTCCTGAAGTGTGACCAGATTAATTTCTGGTTCTTCATTTATATCAGAGAGATTCCAGGTCCAAACTCCTCACCTCTGGGCTAACAGAGGTTGTAACACACACACCTGACTTGTCACTGGGGTTTTCAGCTGAAGTGATTCCCAGACTCTTCTCTTTAGCCTTCCTGAAGGTCTGTGGCTCTTCAAGACCTGCTTTAAAGTGATTTCTTAATTCTCTTGGAAAGACCTTGGCTTGAAAAGGGAGGATTTCTGTGAAAAACCTTGCAAGGGGCTTCTTCTCCTTGGCTACCCCTGCTGCCCTTGCACACTTCATGTATTTAGAGTAATTAAGCTTTAATTAAATGCTTCCTGAGAGCTGAGTGGGGTTTGTGTCTTTGTTGAAATAAGCAACAAAGCCATCTCAAATTAAACCCCATGGCAGTGAGGACCTTAGCAGGCTGGGACCTTAGGGAACAGTGACCTTCTCAGCAGATCTTCTGGTTTCGGTGGTTTCAGCAAAAATCAAAGGGCAGGGAAATGCTGAGTTGTCCTCTCAGCCCCTGGTGAGGTGGAGAACTGATCGTGTGGGAGGGGAAACTGAGGCACAGAGCAGTAGACTCTTCTTCCCAGATTCCATTTTCCTCTTCACTAATCATAGAATCACAGAACCTCAGACTGGTTTGGGTAGGAAGGGACCCTAAAGCTCATCCAGTGCCCCCCCTGCATGGGCAGGGACACCTCCCAGCAGCCCAGGCTGCTCCAAGCCCCATCCAACCTGCCCTTCAACACTGCCAGGGATGGGGCAACCACAGCTTCCCTGGACAACCTGGGCCAGGGTGTCATCATCCCCACACTGAAGACCTTCCTCCTAAAGTCCAACCTAAACTGAGCTGGAACACAACCCACCAAGCTCCCAGTCATAGTCCCCAGGGTGTCCTTCTTAACCCCCCTCCTTGTTGGCTGGGGCAGGGGAGTGGCAGAACCTGGGGAGCTGGTGGCTCCAGGGGGTGGGTTTGTCTGCAGGATGTGACACACTGAGCAGCTTTTCCCCTCCCAAACGCAGGGTCCCTGCTGGGTTCCTGGAGCTCCTGCAATCCTCTTGCCTACATTTGGGAGGAACTCGTCTAAATATGATTTACTCTGCTTTGCAGGAGGAAGCAGGAGTTATTTTTTATTGGAGTGTGGTCCCTCTGTGAAGAGCCACGATCTCAAATTGCTTTATCCAGCCAGAGCAGCTGCTTTGGTGGATTATAAGTGGTTATGACTTGTGGTTCTCAGCTCATCGGTCAAACAGCCCCCGGGGGGCTGAGCTGGGTCTTCCTCTGGCTCTGACATCCAAGGAGAGGTAACGAGCAGCTTGGGGATGGTCAGGATGATCCCTAAGGTCCCTTCCATCCCAAACCAGTCTGTCATTTCCTGATTCCAAGGCACAACTACCTGAGGAAGGGTGCAACCAGTACAAGACTGGTTGCTGGTTGATCCAAGGGCTGGAGCAGCTCTGCTCTGGAGCCAGGCTGGGAGAGTTGGGGTGTTGAGTCTGGAGAAGAGAAGGCTCCAGGGAGAGCTGAGAGCAGCTTCCAGGGCCTGAAGGGGCTCCAGGAAAGCTGGGGAGGGGCTTGGGACAAGGGCAGGGAGGGATGGGAGCAGGGGGAAGGGTTTCCAGCTGGCAGAGGGAGCTGGAGCTGAGATGGGAGGGAGAAATTCTGGGCTGTGAGGGTGGGGAGAGCCTGGCCCAGGTTGCCCAGGGAAGCTGTGGCTGCCCCATCCCTGGGGGTGTTGAAGGGCAGGTTGGATGGGGCTTGGAGCAGCCTGGGCTGCTGGGAGGTGTCCCTGCCCATGCAGGGGGATTAGAACTGGATGATCTTGAAGGTCTCTTCCCACCCAAACCATTCCACGATTCAATGAGGCCATTTGGTGTTGGTTCACCTGCTGGCTCTGGGACCATTTCTTGTTTCAAGGTTGGTGACACCTTCAGGAGCTCCCCAGGGTGGCTTTAGGGGGCTGTGGTGCTGGTGACAGCAATGAGGAAGGAAAAGGAACCTGTTCCACCAGCTGTAAATCCACCTTGCATTTCCTCCACCAAGCAGCTCATTACTCTTCCACTCCACTGCTGGAGACAAGTCCTATCAAACTCAGCTCTTCAAGGACCCCATAGCTTCCAATTCAAGTCAGGAACTCATCCAAAATGTGGTAAAAATGAACACCCTTTGCCCAACAGAACCACAAGCCTCTCTCCTTTTTTTGCCAGCTCCCTGTGGCTCTGCCAGCCTGGAGGGAGGGACCAGCCTTTTGCTGCCGAGATGTTTCCATCAGCATTTCTACCTGCTTTTAGGCCTGGTTTTAGGTGATTATTGTAGCATGAACAGCCTTTCTGCCTCTCCCCTCTGAGCTTTTGCAACTCGGGAAGCCCTGTTCTGCTCCACCAGTCACTTGGAATGGTCACCAGTCGTCACACTCCAGCGCTGCCCATTGTCCACTGGCAAAGGTGGGAGGCTCCGAAGCCCCCAAAAGGGCAAACAAGGGGGGCCCGTTGCTGCTGGGACATCAAAGTTAAACAAACAGCCCCGAGCCCCCTCCTCTGGGCCTGTCTTCAGGAGCTCCCCGAGGAGGTCAGGCCTTCCAGCTTGTCCCAGCACACATCAAAGTTTGCACCACACACGAACTGGGCGCGCGGAGCGGGATGCTGGAGCGGATATTCCCCCTTTGTGCCCTGCTCTAATCCTGTGTTTTCTCAAGTAATTAAGCTTTTTTGCTTATGAACTTGTGACTAAGTAAAGCAGCCCCGAGAGGGTGGAACATCAAAGCTCATTCTCCCCGTCTGTCCCACGTTTGCCAAAATTGGATTTCTTTTTCTTTTTTTTTCCCCCTAAATAAAACAAAACCAAACCAAAAAACCCAACTAATTGAATTTAGTTGTAGACTGAATATATTGAAGAGTGTCTTGAAAAGGTTACAAGAAGCCCCAGTGATCATCATGGGAACTGGGGAGGGAGGACACAGCATCCAGCCCTTCTGCTTTGCATCAAAGCCCCAGGCACGGCCCCACGAGCCAGGAGGGACCTGGATCCTGATGGGGGGAGTCAGACCTGCCCAGCACAGGGACCTCAGAGGGCAAAATCAACTGCCAGCTCAGCTGTCACCTCTGTGGGATGGTAGAGCAGCCACGTGGCCAGTGGGACTGAGTGTCTGCTCAGCAGGTTTGCTGACAACACCAAGCTGTGAGGAGCAGCTGACACCCCAGAGGGAAGGGATCCATCCAGAGGGACCTGGACAGGCTGGGGAGAAGGGCCAGTGCCAACCTCATGAAGTTTAACAAGGCCAAGTGCAGGGTCCTGGGTCAGCACAAGCCCAGGGAACAATCCAGGCTGGGGGGAGAGTGGCTGGAGAGCAGCCCTGAGGAGAAGGACTTGGGGTGGGAGGAGATGAGAAGCTGGACATGAGCCCCCAGTGAGGACTGGAGCCCAGAGGGGCAGTTGTGTCCTGGGCTGCATCACAAGAAGTGTGGCCAGCAGGGCCAGGGAGGGGATTCTGCCCCTCTGCTCTGCTCTGCTGAGACCCCCCTGGAGTGTTGTGTCCAGCTCTGGGGTCCCCAGCACAGGAGAGACATGGAGCTGTTGGAGAGGGGCCAGAGAAGGGCCATAGAAATGATCCAAGAGATCATCTGGGAGAGTTGGGGTGTTCAGGGCAGGTTGGATGGGGCTTGGAGCAGCCTGGGCTGCTGGGAGGTGTCCCTGCCCATGCAGGGGGGTTGGAACTAGATGATCTTGAAGGTCCCTTCCAACCCAAACCATTCTATGATTCTATGAAAAGCTTCCTTGGGTTTAGCTTCACATCCCAAACCAGCCCAAACTTCCCAGAACCCCCCGTAGAGCCCACCTGGACTTGACTTCCCCACGACATGAAGGCTGAGCCAAACCTACCTGGAGTTCCTGAAAAAAAAACCATGAGTGCTGTCCAGCCCAGCCTGTGCCTGGCATTCACCTCTGTGCCCTCCTGCAGCAACCTGGACAGAGGAGACATGTTCAGGGTGAAGATGGAGATAAAACATCCCGAGCAGGGTGGAGCTCAGAGGAGCTCACCTGCTGCAGCAGAGCCTAGAAGACCCAAGCTGGAAAGGTGCTACAATCCAGTTTCTCATGGGCTGTCAAACTGAAACCAACTGGGAGGTGCTACCAAGCACTGTCCTTCCTAATGGCCCAATGTCAACAGCTTCATTTCTTTATTTTATCTTTCTTTTATACAGTTTAATACCCAAAGGATGAACCAGCAGCCATGGAGGAGAGCAAGGCTGCTTCATTTACAAGCTGGGGACAGGTTCAGACCTTCTGGGTGCAGCCACAGCCTCCTGGGACTCAGGACAAGCTCAGCAGATCTCCAAGGGCCATGGCAACAGGAGATACTTTTGCAGGTTTCTTGCACAACATGAGAACAAAGGAGACAAACCCAAAATGCAGGAGGTATCCAACAAGCCTTGGTGATTTCTCTAGCAAAGCCCAGACTGCTTTGGGTTAGAAGGGACCTTAAAGCTCATCCAGTCCCACCTCTGCATGGGCAGGGACACCTCCCAGCAGCCCAGGCTGCTCCAAGCCCCATCCAACCTGCCCTTCAACACTGCCAGGGATGGGGCAGCCACAGCTTCCCTGGGCAACCTGGGCCAGGCTCTCCCCACCCTCACAGCATAGAATTCCCTCCTCATGTCTCAGCTCAACTACCCTCTAAGCTTAATGATAATCAACTCTTTGGCAGGTCAAAAACAGGTCCTTGCTCTGCAGAGCTTTGATACTTGGTGCTTTGTGGCAGCTGAGGAGCAGCAGAATCCTCAGCAGATCCATGTGACACGGATCTGCTCAGCACCAAGGCAGGGCAGGGCACAGGACCAGCCTCAGCTCCCCCCAGGATATGTCCTCAGGCTTCCTCCCTATTCCAGCACCTCATCACTGGAGGCACAGGATGGGAGCCCAGGCAGGTGCAGAGCACCCCGGGACAGCAGGGTGCTGAAAGGACAAACATCCTGTGCAGCCACAGAGCCCTCCTGTCCCCAGGACAGCACCAGGACCTGCCTGGCTGCACACAGGATGGCAGATTGTTATCTGCAGAGATCAGCTCCCCCCAGACAGAGGGTGTTTGCACTCACAAAAGAGAGAACAAGGAGCTTGACCCAGAGCAGGGACACAGGCATCCCCTGCCCTGGAAGCTGCCTGAGGGAGAAATCCACACCAGGCTCCATCTGTGCCACCACACCCAGCACATCCGTGGGGTGGGCATGGAGAGATGCTCCTCCCCATGAAAAACCCTCTGGATGAGCCATGGAATCATGGAATCCCCGACTAGTTTGGCTGGAAGGGACCTCAAATCCCACCCAGTGCCACCCCTGCACGGGCAGGGACACCTCCCAGCAGCCCAGGCTGCTCCAAGCCCCATCCCTGGGCCAGGCTCTCCCCACCCTCACAGCCCAGAATTTCTCCCTCCCATCTCAGCTCCAGCTCCCTCTGCCAGCTGGAAACCCTTCCCCCTGCTCCCATCCCTCCCTGCCCTTGTCCCAAGCCCCTCTCCAGCTTTCCTGGAGCCCCTTCAGGCACTGGAAGCTGCTCTCAGCTCTCCCTGGAGCCTTCTCTTCTCCAGGCTCAACACCCCAACTCTCCCAGCCTGGCTCCAGAGCTGCTCCAGCCCTCCCAGCATCTCCGGGGCCTCCTCTGGCCTCTCTCCAACAGGTCTCTCTCCTTCCTGTTGGATGCCCCATGTTTTAACAGGTTTGGCTGCTGCCCTAGGATCTAACTTAATTATTTGTTCTGGCTGAGAGTGAAGGCAATTCCTTCTTCTACGTCTGCAGAATAAAAAAAAAACCTTCTGGTGAGTTAAAATGTCATTTTTAGTGCCTCCAAAGTGCTCTAAAGGAGGTTGCCATCCTGGCCCCTGTCTCATGAGGAGGTGCTGAGGTGTTCAGCTGCAGTTCCCCTTCACGAGAAAACAGAGAGGACAAGGGGGAATGGATCCAAACTGGAAGAGGGGAGATTTAGCTGAGACATTAGGGGGAAATTCTGGGCTGTGAGGGTGGTGAGAGCCTGGCCCAGGTTGCCCAGGGAAGCTGTGGCTGCCCCATCCCTGGGGGTGTTGAAGGGCAGGTTGGATGGGGCTTGGAGCAGCCTGGGCTGCTGGGAGGTGTCCCTGCCCATGCAGGGGGGTGGGACTGGATCATCTTTAAGGTCCCTTCCAACCCAAACCATTCCATAATTCTATGATGCTGGAGCCTCTGCTTCAGGATTTGGTGACAGGCTCAGAGCAAAGATACTGGAATTAATCCAGTAGTTTTCCATTCAGGAATCTAATCACAAACATCTGGAATGCCAGGAGCCCCAGCCCAGCCAGCAAATCCCCCCCTCACATCACCCGGCCTAACACCCACTGACATTTCATTTAGGAGCTGGATTATTATTATTTTTTTTAAATGGTTACAACACACTCAGCAACTTAACAGATTTTCTAGACAACTGAACTTTATGTTCAGGGTCTCCAAGTCCATCATTAATTTTTTTCCCTGCCTGATTTAATGCCTTGACAATCGATAAAGCGACGACCACTGCTCAGGTCCCAGACAGGCAAATGTATTTACCAACAGGAGGGCTTTTTTTTTTGTTTGTTTGTTTAATTCAATAAAATCCTCTAGATCAATGTTTAGGATGTTTATCCACAGTTTAACCAAATCAGATCCAGGACACTCTCTCTAACCTTCCCAAGGAGGTTCTCCTGCATATCCCTAGAGGTGTTCCAGGGCAGGTTGGATGGGGCTTGGAGCAGCCTGGGCTGCTGGGAGGTGTCCCTGCCCATGCAGGGGGGGCACTGGGTGGGATTTGAGGTCCCTTCCCACCCAAACCATTCCATGATTCTCTGATCCTGCTCTATTAGCACCATTTTTAGTGTGTCTCAAGTGACAAACTGGGCTGCAGCCCTAACACCAAGGCCTGCACACTGGAAAAAGAGCGGGTGCTTTCCTGTTTGGTGCTGGATTTGTATGTCAAGGATTTCAGGAAAACCTTTGGGTTTTGTAGGGTTTTAGGACAAAAAGCTGGGCCACTTCCCAGACAGACCTGAAAGGTTTTTCCTGACAGGTTTCTCGTGGTTGGGAGCTTGTGAGCCAGCTCCCAGTCCCCAGCAGATGTCCCTTCTGCCCGATGGATGTCCCCCCTCCCTGATGGATGTCCCCTCTCCCTGATGGATGTCCCCTCTCCCTGATGGATGTCCCTTCTCCCTGCAAAGCCTGGGCTCCCAGGCCAGCAATGGGGGCATTTTACAGAATTTTGAGATGTCTCTGGAAACCAACAGCAGCTCCAGAGCATCCTGGGGGGGTGGTCTGGCCAGCAGGACATCACCAGCTGCTCTGGAATCCGCAGCAGGAGCCCGGGCAGAGCAGCACCCACCACCCTGTTTTCCCAGCAAACAGCAGCTCCCAGAGCACCAGCACTTTGATCCACCCAAGAAGAGAAAAAGAGCCCAAGGGGGCTGGGGCGAGGGGGCTTCTCCCCCCGCAGCCCCCGGCCAGATGTGCCTCCTATTCAGCCCTGGGCCGGGGTTCTGGGTGAGTAACTCGGTGACACGGGCCGGGCCCCGGGGCCATGTTTGAGTTTGTGCTCAGCCTGCCCGGGCTGCCCTCCTGCCAGGTGGAGGAAGAGGAAGCTGGAAACTTGAACTTTCACAACAACAATAGCTTCTGTTTCTTCCAGGCCGCTCCCCAACGTGTCCCAGTTGCAAGGGGGGGTGGGGACACCCTGGCACCACCTCGGGCCCTGCTCTCTGCTGTGCAGGGCAAGGAGGGGAGAATAAACACCCAAGGCAACAATTCCCCCCCTTCAGAGGCCGGGGAAGGGTCTGGCTGCTCTGGGGAAGGGGCAGAGGGGCTGCTGAGCCTTTGATCTCCCTTCTGTCCTGACAGCTCCTGCTGCTCCTCTGGGGCCGCGGGTGGTGGGGAAGGGTCTGTCTGGATGGTCCAGGAGAGACGGGAGAGGAGGAGGGAAGGAGAGAGGGAGAGAAGGGGAGAGAGGAGAGGAGAGGAGAGGAGAGGAGAGGAGAGGAGAGGAGAGGAGAGGAGAGGAGAGGAGAGGAGA